CCCCGCCCCAGGATCCGGGGGAAAAAACTAACAGACGTGTCTCGCGTATATAGTACAGCGAGATTCGCATGAAGAAATCATACCGACATTAAGGGAAACCGTCTCGCCCGGAGCGAGTGTCATATCACCTACTCATACATAACGCATCCCAGAGCGAATGTATCCCGGGTCAGGCCGGAGAACGTGCAAAAGATAAAAAAAGGAGCGGCGCGTGAGTGAAGTGAACGAGATCGCGAGTCTGTGTGCACATACGTGTATGCGTGCGCGAGGGATAGAGACAGAGGGTGAGAAAGAGGGTGTGAGCGCGAGAGGGAGAGGCGACCCGTGTGGGTTCTGTGTCTTCTTCGCAGGTCATCGGAGATCTACTACCGCCGGCGACACGCTATCTCGGGCCATCGACGAGCCTTGGCGAGGAGGTTGGCGGCCGGCGCTGCTGGCCCCATCGCCGCCACCTCGACCACCTCGGAATCGCTGGAGAGCTACGGCGTCGATACAGAGATACCCGCCGCAGCCAGGAGGCCCCGTAGCACGAGGGGCTCGCAAAAATGGAGTAACGTACGCGCGGTCATGGCGTTATATTCCTCTCTACGCAAAATCAAGAGGTACTCCCGACATTAGCCGATATATGGACGGTGAATCTCTGACACCGTCGTCAGCACACAAGACACACTGTAACACAAACATATACATACACATATACACACACGCGCAAAACCCTTACAAATTATGTTGGGAACTCGGCACGGTGCCTTGAAGCATTTACTTGTAGTCAACCCCCATGTGTGTACGCTTTTGAAACTTCATTTTTAAAGACATTACACGTCTCGTACAGTTCATCATCCAAAGTAACAACTATCCGTGATGCAATAATTTTTGTTTCAATAATCACATCCTAATTCAAGATCCTAATTAGCTAAGTAATTGATTAATAAGCAAAGTGGATCAAGGAGAGAGTCTAAATTTTAGATTAATTTTAGATTAATTTTTATAGAAATAAATAACGAGATTATCGATATTCGAGATTCTATGATTGTTGTTTTATAAATTTCAAAAATTTTTTTCTAGAAAAGAATTAAATCAGCTGATTTATGGGATTATTTATAAAAATCACTGGCTGCGGAATTTCCTAGTTGCCTAGAAAGTGTTACGAATTTACATACGATTTTAAAAGAAAGAAAAGTCTCGGGAGCCTCCGGTTTTTGTTGAAAGTATTGGAGATCTCTCGCAGCATGCCGTGTTTGCATTTTGTCAATTATTCATTCCGTATACACGATAGATTTTTGAATCAATTCAGATACTCCGAGGAATTCTGATTTTTAGGACCAACGGCTAGCGGGCCCCCGAGACGAGTTTTAAAAGCATTTCGCAGATTTTCAACAATGCGTGAATTATTCAAGATCGTCTCTCGACGCGCGCACGTAGCAACTCCGATCTGATATATATTGTTTCCATCCACACTATCCACACGATACCGCGGCCGATCACCGATGTAAAACGAAGGAACGTAAAGTTTACGAGGGCACGAGACTTCCGCTAAGTAAATGTACGAACTGCAATAAAGTTTGTGTGTGGAGGGAAAAAAAAAGACGCGTCGCGCTATATTAAATTCAAAGGCGATGGTGTGGGTTCGCGTATGAGATTATCGACTTTGTACCTTTAAAAAATTCACGGAAATTCTGATTCAGCTAGACAAATTTAGTAACAAGGTGACATTCTCGTAAAGCAACATGAGGGGAGAAACTAGATGAAAAATATTTCTTAAAAAATGCGTATGTTTATTACACATTTCGGAGCGTTGACAAAATGTCATATTCTAAATTGGAGCGTACTACATCAGATAAAATGCAATTAAAAAGACACTCGAGTAAATGGCAACCTATATAAGTAACGTACGCATTTACGTATACTGTTAGAAATTTCTTAATGAATTTTAAGTAACATGTAATGGAAGCTGGTGGTTATGACGGAAATGAAAAGTAGAAATGAATGACACCACAAAAACTAAGTCACAGTAGCTTAAATGTAATAAACACGTGCAGTAAATTTAATGAACATAGTATTACAAAAATTAATTTACGCGTTAATGAAATGTAAGAAACGTATATAAGTAATAAAAAGTAATGAAGTAACGTACCTAAATGAAATCTAAGAAACAGGTTTCTTAAATGTAATGGACGTGGGCATTAAATTGTTTGTTTAATGGTTAACAGTTTAATGGAAAATACTGGATAAATACGTATAAGTAAATTGTTATTTATGCGTTCTTTGTGCATTACATTTTCCTTAATATATTATATATACGGTTAATTGAATAAGTATCATTTATATCAAATTAAAAGTGAATTAAATTTGAAATTATTTATTTTCTAAAAATATAAAAAATTCTTAAAAACTTAAATTTCATTAACACGTATATTAATAATTATTTCAATTACAGTTAATTAATATTGTATTTACAAATGAATTTTCATTCTGTAAATGAAAAGTATATTAAATTTTAATACACTTAATTTTTTATTTACTACAAACTTAAATTTTAACATGTACATACATTAATATTTATTTCCACCACGGTTAACTAACATTTCATTCATATCTGTAAATAAAAATAAGATACAATAAAATTAAGATTTATATTAATAGTCTCTTCAGCGTACAGATAATTTAAATTTCATTCACCAGTGTACATTAAAAGTTAATGGAATTTAAGGATAATTTCTAACAGTGATAATACGTAACATTGGAGAATCGAGCTGTTTTGAATTTATAATTTTAATATTGTCTTAAAGTACATCGACAGTTGACATTATAAAACGATAGAGACTCGGGTAAGTCTTGAGCAAAAGGCTCGAGTGTCGATCTGATCGTTTTACCTCGTGAACGTCACCCTGCATTCGACGTGAAATCGCACGAAAGTACTGGCTATAACTCCGCTCGTCTCACTGCAACTCTATCCTATCTCTCTCTCTCTCTCTTTCTCTCTCTGTTTCTCTCTCTTTCTCTCTCTCGCCATTTCTCCGATCTCTCTCCTTTCTCTATTACCTCAAATTACTGTACGACTCGTGTTCTAGACTCTGTATTAGATTAGCTGACAGGTGACCGCTGCATCTGTTCTCTGATATCCGCAACGTACGATACTTGGAAATTTCAAAGGTTGATAATGAACTCACCAACTTACGGCGCTGATCGCCCACTCGGCGGCTTCATTTAACGATGATCAACGATCTTGCTTGCTCGCAATTTGCAAGTAAAATTCGCGAACTTTTACCACGCGAATACTCTTACACGTGGACAACGAGATACCTCGGTTACCGTGCGAGTTTCTGGATAATAAATCATTAATAGGGTACAGCGGTGTAATTTGAATAGTGGGGTAATTTGGATAACAGTAAGCATTTGCAAGAATTTCGGAAAAATAAGAGATTTTAAGATACATTTTATTAGATCAGACATTGATCTAATGGAATGTATTTTAAAATCTCTTATTTTTCTGAAATTCTTGCAAATACTTACTGCTATCCAAATTACCTCACTATTCAAATTACCCCGCTGTACTCTATAGAGAATAAACTCTATAGAGTACTCTATAGAGAATTCAAATAAACAGAAATTGTTGGCGACCCCGCAAGGAGCGAGGGAAATCGAGGTTTATCGTTGGAAGAGCGTTTGTGGACTCCGTCCTGTCATTATTCGTGCATTTAGCGCTCTGATTGATACATACACGTATCATCGATAATACGACTCATTTTCTCCATTTGCTTTGTATCGGCGCGATTCGCGATTGACCGGGAAATACGATACGCCTGAATTAATAGCCGTCGAGCGGCTGATCTCGATTAATCTAACGCCGCGAATGAAATATATTTCTCCCCTATTGGCATCGTGTGTACGATTTCAAACGAGCTATATCCCGCATGGTGGTCGTTTCGCGTTACCAGCACTGGTATCCGCGAGTTTTTTTTTAACCGCACCCCGTGTCGTCCACACCCCGAAATCCCTAAATGCTTCACATTTTATTTTCTCTTTTTCCGCAGAAGGCCATCGGCTAAATATATCGGCGGATGAAAGTTGCTCGCCTGCTAATGATATTTTGATACGACTCGCGTCTTTCTTTTCGGGATATTTTCTCATGTGGATGACAGTTAAATTTCCATAAACGAAACGGTTTATTCTAACGTGACGGTAATCGCTTTAAAATAGATTCAACTGATATTCCTACGAACATGTATATAGCATTTACTGACCCGCAGTTTGACGCGTTTGAATTATTCCTTAATAGAAAAAAAAAATACCTTATTACAGCAGAGAGGAAAAAAAGATCCGAAAGGATCAGGATACGTGTTCCCCTTTGAGAATTACATAATACACGCGTGACAACATCACACTTACATGATAGAACACTGTACATGAATGTTATATTAACGATTCAAGAATGCGTAGTGGCATATAACGACCCTTATAGCTCCATTACTGTCTCTGTCTAACGTATGCGATTTTTCAGTGTCTCTGTCTCTGTCTATCTATCTGTCTGTCTGTCTGTCTGTCTGTCTGTCTGTCTGTTTGTCTGTCTGTCTGTCTGTTTGTCTGTCTGTCTGTCTGTATGTCTGTCTGTCTGTCTGCCTCCTATCCATCTGACACTCTAGCTAACTGATCTGAATCTCGATTCTCGCTCGTTTCTTATTTCAAGCAAGAACTACCTATCTTACATAGAACTTAGAGAGTACGACGAGTGTATTCGATCTTCCCGGAAAGAAAAAAAAAGAGAATGATGTGTTTCTCCTCCGTTTCTACTATAGGTTTGAAGAATGGAACGAATAGTAGGTGCATATACCTATATATATAACCTCATGTGTGTTTGCTATAGACAAATAGATCATAGCGAGGACTGCGGAACGGAGGTGTCTTGTGATGTGTTTCTTCCCGCGCGATTTCTGCGTGACGTCGCGCGAAGAGGCTCATGCATGCATGAGATTCGCGTGGAACTCGCCGTTCGCAGTCACGCGGAATCCTGATTAGAAGTCACCTTTGTGCGTCGTGCGATCGTATTTCTTTCGGGACGACGACGCCCGCGTGCGACGAGACACACGGCGAGGCGTGTCTCGTCGAATCCCGAAGTAGGCGCGAATTCGTCGTCGCTTCTCAACGCGAACGGATTAATCGTGTCCGTCAGTCGCAAGCGGTTTGCGACGATGGACGCGGTTGACTCGGACTTCGCTTGAGTGGGAGCGTTGCGATGCATTCGTCGGCGGTATCGCAACGTCTTCTTTAAGAGTGACCCGATTCAGAGAATCACATTATTTCCTAATTAATCAGTTTTTATGAAGGGCAAAATATTCTTTCCATAGACTTGAAAATTTGATAAATTGATCGAATACGTAATTTCCGTTTGTTAAACCTGCTCCAAATTCATCTGCAATTGGATAGTTTCACGTTTATTTTCAATTCGAAAAAATTTTATATCATGTTATCAAACGATATATTTTCGATTTTTATTTAATTGTAAAACATTGAAAAATAATAAAATATTGGAAATGTAATATGTGTTGGGAAGTATAAAGCTACGAGAACAGGTATAAAAGGTTACAATTAACGGGGGATTGATTTCAAATTTTCAAAACAATATATATAATATTGAAAGAGAATTTGCAGCGATTATTTTTGCAGTTCTATATGTGGGATTTTTCTAAATAAAAATTTTTGAAATCAAAAGTTTTCAAATGTATACATAAATAAGTTGTGCTATAAAGTAATAAGAACATAATTTTTTACGTCACATTTGAGGAAAAAAATACGACGTTCAAGAGGATGAAAAGCAGAAAATCTCAACTTCCTCATTGATTTACTCTCTTTATTCCGATGATAAACGATTTTATCCGTTACTATACCTTCATAAATCCGACGCGCGTCATCAGAACAGATTGTTTCCGTCCGGATAAATCAGTCTTTAAAGTACGTATTCGGTTCCTACGGCAGGAATACCCATATATCACGCGGTTCACTTAATACTCGCGAGATACACGCGAGAGACGCGTGATTATTTATTGAGCACCGACAATCCGTGCTTATCGGTTCCTCTCCCGCGCGACGGCGGGAAAATAGGATTATTCGTCGCGGATACGGGATTTCGGATCGATGGGAAGGATATCTCCAGCGGCGGCAGTTTTGTATCGCGCATTGAAAACCCCTCTTTATCACGTTCGAACTTTATCTTTTCGCGTGCAGGCGCCGCCCGATAATTCACAGGTCAGTGCATACGATTGCATCTAACAAAGTAGCGCGTGACGTAAATTTGCCGCCGCATATGAAAGATGCATAGCGTTGATATTTAAACAATGAACAAGTCTCTTTTTTTAGATTGCATAATTTGATTGAGTCCCCCCTTCTCCTCTGCGGCAAAAAAAAATATATATTATTCTCCGCTCAATTAAGTATATCAGAAATATTCCGAACGGATATGACGACAATATCGAGCGCTTACATTCGCGAGGACGTTTCATTCTCGCGGACAATTCTCCGAGCGTTGATGTTTACTCGCAATTTATGTATTTAAACAGCTCCATTTAACCCGACGAATGTACACGGCGGAGTTAGTGGTTTTATTAGTGCAGTTACTCCTTTCATGTCCGCAAGAGAGTTAAGATGACTCGAACCGATAGCCGTAACGTCGTTTCCCCTTCGTATTACTTGACGGCTGCCTTTACACACGGGATTTACGGGGTGTATTATCTTATCTGTAAATCGAGCAATAATGATTTTATCTTTTCGTTATTTACGTTTTGAACAAATTTAAGGCGACACGGCGACAATCTGATTAAAGGAGCGCATAATCGGATGTGCATTTATTATCCGTTTAACGTAAGCTTGAACATTTTTCAAGCTTACGGATTATAAAGCTAAATCGACAAGGGCTGATTCTCGACCGAGGGTGGATGGGATCCGCAGGATCCGCGCTCCGTTTCCCCTTTCGTCCTTGACTGGCGACCTATTTATCTTTCTGCCCGCAGAACGAAGAGCAATCAACGGTGGATGAAACTGCGCACGACCGTGCAGCTGTCCTCGGCGATCACCTCGACGATTCAGAAGAAGCCGCCGCTGAAGCGCGAGGACTCGTTCCTGAAGAGGTTCTCCACCCGGCAGATACCGGAGAGCCAAGAGACCCTCGACACCGGCGAGGGCGAGGGGGACGCGACCGACGATAAGGATACGGGCGCTCGGCGCCGCAGGCGACCCCGCAGACCGCAGAGGCCGCCCAAGACCGTGGTCAATCCCGACGAGAACTTCTACTACTACTGGCTGATGCTGTTGTCGGCCTGCGTCCTCTACAACCTCTGGACGCTGATCGTCCGCCAGAGTCTGCCGGAGCTGCAGGCGCTCGCGCCCAACACCTGGCTCGCCTGCGACGGCTTCACGGACATGGTGTTCTTTCTGGATGTGGTGGTGCAGTTTCGCACCGGCTACCTGGAGCAGGGCCTGATGGTCTACAACAATCGGAAGCTCGCCGGTCACTACCTCAAGTCCAAGTCCTTCGTCTTGGATCTGTTCGCGCTGCTGCCGCTCGATCTGCTCCAGGTGAACCTCGGCAATAATCCCATGCTGAGGTTCCCCAGGTTCCTCAAGATCTACCGAGTGTACAATTACTACTACATGGTGGAGTCGCGGACGGTCTATCCAAATTTCTGGCGCGTGCTGAATCTCATTCACATACTGCTCATACTGGCGCACTGGTTCGGCTGCTTTTACTACCTGCTGAGCGAGGTCGAGGGCTTCCAAGGCGACTGGGTGTACCCGTACCGGCCCGGCGAGTACGCCACCCTGACCAGGAAGTATCTCGGCTCCCTCTACTGGTCCACCCTGACGCTGACGACCATCGGTGATCTGCCCACGCCGGAGACCAACGCCGAGTGAGTGACATAATCTCTACACGCACACGTATTATACAACACTATTATACTTTCGCTCCCCGCTGTCCCTTTTCGTTTTCTTCTTCTTTTTTTTCCTTTCCTTTTTTTATCGCACCGTGCGCCCGATCTCGTCATGACGAAGCTTAAGAGAGAATGGAACGTCGTGCCTTCTTCCGGACCTTCGCTCGCCTCTCGAGAAACCGAGAATCACTCGGTGAGAGAGCATCGGTGCGCATCGAATCGTTGACGTGCCGAGGCATCGAAATATCGCGCGGCTTATAATCTAAAATAAGTACACGCGATATCTTTTTTAGACAAATATACAGTATAAGAGTAGGGAAAAACTGTATGTAACTAATTATCTCTTGAAAATTGACTGTACCAAGAATTCTTTTGTATAACTTTCATTTTATGAAAGCATGTTCTAGTAAACATAGCTCGGAAATTCTTCCTTACAAAGTTAGTGTTAACAAACTTCGTCACGCGGGAACCGTCCCGCGTTGAGTGTTGCGTTATTTCTCGTTATATACGATCGGACTTGTTATCCCCTGAACAATTACGCTTCTCGGGAAAAATTAATCGAAATCTGATTTCCTCGAGTTGCCGCAATCTTTCCAAAAGTGGATGAGATTATTGAACCCTTTATATGTTTCTACAACGATATCGATTCCCTCAACTGTTTGGTTACATTTCGTATCGAACGGTTAAAAAATCGTCCCGTCTTTCGAGAAGCTTGGGAGGATAAATCTACTTCCTCGTCTCTAAGATCTGATTTTCGAAAATTTCTCCAAGTATACGCGAATCCTTCGCTGAATCCTTTATAGATTTTTACGTTGATCCCCGCACATATCGCGGGTTCCGAGGCATCGAAGTGTAAAGTGGCTCGAGGCTCGAGTTCAGTTTGCATTCGTATTCGCGTTACGACATTCTAAAAACTGATGGCTCCTTCACGCGGATCAACAGGTAGCCGGTGCATGATTTTATTTTACTTTGCGGCACTCGTCCTTGGGCCGCGCGATTTGCGGATCCATCAAGTTGTCGCGTGATATAAATGTAAAACGGCCCCGCGTATGCACTGAAACCGGAGAAATTTCAAGAATAAGGAAGGCAATGTGCAGACGTATCAGGAAACGATCCTTGACAATTGTGAGATACTACTTTCAACGAATTATTTTAATTGCAGATAAAAAAAAAGAGGTCTATATGTTACAAAGAGATAAAAAAAAGAAGAAAATTATGCAAATGTCATCAGAAATCATTTTAATGTCAAAGATTTCGTACGCAGTACAAGCAAAGCTCGCTTTTGTAGACGAGAGTAGACGTTACATTCACTCTGATTTCAATGAACGTCACAAATCGATGCGCGCGAAACACTTCAATATCGACAGGGAAATTAGCGCCTCGCGGATGAATCGCCGTTGGCTCAATAATTGCGTTCACTTTCTCCTCCCCTTCCTCCCCGCCGCTGTTTCCCGGTTTCCCGGTCGGTTCGCGTATTTTCGGATGCTCGTCACATTCATCGCGAAATACAATACAATGTTATTGGAACGTGTCCCCGTGTAACACAGTGTAACACGCCGCGTGGGTCGCGCGCGCTCCCCGCGAGAGCGAGAGATCCCACTAGACCGGGGGGCGAGCGCTCTCCATCTCGCGTAAGTCGGATTCAAATTCTCGTATACCATCGTATACCATTTGGATGCAAACGGGGTGTTACGCGAACGACCCAACTGTCATTGTTACAGTCGTTCGTTATGCAACGGTATACGCTCCCTCGGGACGTCCTAAATTTCGTGGGCGTTGAATCCGAGAATGGACTCTCTGCTAACGTGACGAGTCTTGGAATTAACGCGTCCCAAAAGCGGACTCGATAGACTTCGCGAAATACTGCGTCTCGGTGTTACGTAAATCAAAGATTTTCATTTTATTGCGGATCGTAGCGATAACAGAGATATATTCGCGGAGATTACAGGATATGAAGCGTGTATAATATTTTTTGTAAGCCCAATTTAGACGATCTACAATTCGAGAATTCAGATCAATTCAGAAATAGAATTCTGTTCATAAATTTATACGCCGTAATTAAAAAAGAAACATTAAAGAAAGAATTAAAGAATGCAACATTAAATAGATATTACATAATGCACATATTAAATATACATTAGTATATAAAATATATGTTAAACTATACATATATACATATATCAAAATACACGGCATATAAAAAATCGAACTGTATTTTGAATTCTGACGCAAATTATAGATCGTGTAAAGAGGATTCGCGAGCGTTGAGTTAAAAAAAAAAACGATGCATTCTGCGAGTATCGAGTGAAACGTTCAAAATGCGGGATTAACATCAAAATCCTCGCGTTCTTTAGAATTCGCAATGATGTAATTCTCGCGTTTCGATGCCGTCGCAAGCGGTACGCCATGCGGAACACGTTTCAGTAATAATATCGTGTAATTTAACGTCATTTATAACATAATCGCACCTTGAATTAACTTATACAAATTAATTGTCGGCTAATCGGCAAATCGATTGACAAAGCGTCCATTCCGCCACGCGCGATACGTAACGTTCCATGTACGATTAAATGGTGTTTTGCAGCGCGTAATGTTTTATCGTATTATCGCGCGCGTTACGTTCGATCGGATCAAATTCTGATGGCGTTGAAACGAGATCAACAAAGCCGCTCATTGATCGATGATCGATCGACAAAGTATCCCTTCCCATATATGTGTTGTCGACGCGACGGATTTCTCTCCGCTTTGAATAGTCACGAAAGTGACTATATAGTCGTCCAAGCATCGTCGATTTTCTGCAACGCCACGTCTGTTCCTGTCGACGATGACAAACGTAGTACGGTCCTTGGATCGTCGTTAAAACATGTACAGGGTTCGCAAAATCGACATCCACCTTGGAAGACACCGAATACGACTGTGAACATGTTTAATTTGTAAAAAAATTTATGTAGTCACAAGTGTAACGGTTCGCGTCAATTTCCGTGTATCTTTTTCAATCCATTCGTGCGCTGGACTTTCAGCCTTTCCGGCTTTGCGTTCCGCGCGCGTCGATTCAGCGCGCGGCGCGGGAACGCCCGGCGATTCCATTGTCTCTCCTAAGTTAGTCTCTTTAGTGAACTTAGATGCCTAGGAATTAGACTCGTGAAGCGGCCTTGTTGTTGTTGTGTTGGCAGAATCGTAGCGGGCGGCAATCCCCGGAGCCTCGCTCGTCGTGGCCGACTGTCCCGGCTTCTGCAGTTCAAGAATAATGGAGGGTATCTGTATCGTTTCAAGAATAAAAAAAGAACGATAAGAGAACGGAAAGAGAAAGGGAGAATGAATGGGAGTGAGAAAGAGAGAAAGGTGGATTAGAGGCGAAAATAAGGTCGAAATGATAGGAATTGTATGCGAGAGGGGGTGAATGCGAATGCAATGAAAGTGCATGTGAGAAAGAGAGAAAGCTGAAGAGAGGGATGAAAGGGAGCGAAATGAAAAGAGCGAAAGTGACTAGCTCTGTCGTTTCTGAAACAGCATGTACTGTAAATTCGAAAAGACTCGAGATTTTGTATATAACTACTGAAATCGCGACTCTTTTGTCGGTGCTCGCTCAACGTTTCTCGGAATTAATTGCGTTCACAAGCCAGTCGAGTCGGTGAACACGACGTTGCAGAAGGGAACGAAAAGAAAAGAAGGCGGAAGTCGTTTTAGCACGGTCGAATTTTTGCGGAGGGAAAAAAGGCGCGGAGGTGAACGAAACTTGGAAACGTAACGATGAATCACACGGAGAGAGGCAGGCGAAGTGCCTCTCATTTGCGACATTATGTTGGCAACGGGAGGCGGGCGCAGGGGGGAGAGGGGACGGTAATACTCGTTTGAAAAATGATCGGAACCGTGTCGTGGTCTTTGCTCGTTTACCGCAAAGCAGCCGGCACGCGAATCGCGAGCGCGATTTAATTCATCGGCACAATAACACCGTTAAAATGACGCGTCTCTCACTCGTCCGCTGTCCTGCGCGTCGAGACGCAATTTTTCAACCCGTATAACGAATTCTCCCGCGCGCGCTGTTTTATTACGCGGCGGAGAATTTATATCGTGCCACGAAATCCACGTCGCGCAATTAGAAAGGACAAGCAATGCGCTTTATTTCGAATTGCATTTTTCGCAAGGACGAATCTTTCCTGGGGCGGGCGGCGCGCGACGGGAGGCGGTATAGATGAAATTTTTCCCTCGCGGGTAACACGGGGGGGATAGCTATACCGAGCTCATCGGATATTGCGCGGTAATGGCTATTCGGGATCAGTGTTTATCCTCCAAACAGTATTATGTTTTGGTACTCTCTGATTTCGCCCTCCGCAGAGACATGGGCAAACAATCCTGCGAATAGCCAGACGATTAAAAAAAAAAAGTGATGGTAAATCCGCATGTTGATTAATTTATACAGTCACGTGTGTGGGGCGCGTAAATACGACAAAGGGACAATTGTCTATACGTGACTGCGAATTAATCAATAAAATGTAGATTTCGTGTTGCTCTTATAATCCTCGCTTAAACAGAGCATCATCTTGTCGTCAGATACTATTATTGTCACAAGAATGGACCGTACTGGGGTCCCCGAATAATTGTCATCGAGTATTTCGCTAACGTTCTTCCCTCATCGCTATATCGCTCTTTATCGTTTACCACTTCCTTTTGATATATCGGTGTTCAAATATTATTACAAATACTCGCCACGGTGGTATTTATTTACGTCTTTAGTTAGATTCGCAGACTACAGTGTAGATACGAGTAACTGCCTGAAGAAAGAACACACGTTTCCACTCGCGGAATGCGAAATCGTATTTTTACGAGCGCGTGAATTCGCGGACCTTTGCATCCATATCCCGCAAGCAATCGGGTGCGGGAGGGAGTCTATAAAAAAAAGGGGGGGAGAGGGGAAAGGGAGAAACGTTCGTAACGATATTGCGTTCCAGTTGGAGTTATCGACCGACCGACCGTGCGCGGGGAAGGTAATTTATGCGCCGCGTGTGTTATCGCGGGGGGGGGGGGAAACGCGCGCGTGCACGAAAGCACGTGTCGGTGCGACGTTGGCACTGACGATCTCTGAACTCTTTGACGACGAGGCGGGAGACGGTGCGGAGTTCGTTCCCCGGCAATTAGTCTTTGTCTGGATGACCAAACGGCAAACAGACGGTTACCGCGATGACACGACTCCAGACATGGCGGGTGACCGTCTTTGCGTTACTCACTCGTTACACGTTTGACGTAAAGGCCGCTTTATACGAGGGGCACCCAATTTCAGGCGATTCGAGACAAAATATACTTGATATGAAGGATCAGATTTAAGACGGTAATGTCAGGTTATTAGATGTACATTAGGGTGGAGCGATTTCTTACCCCCTGTCGTGCATGTATTTTCGGAAAAGGCATAAAAAAATGATGAATTTTGGTGACAAGCGGAAATTTTTAAATGAATATCCACTCCTCCTAAAAAATAAAAAAACATCGTTTTTTTTCATTTTTATTTTATTTCAACTAATCATCGGTTTATTATGGTACATAACAATTGTTTCATAAAAATTATTTATTGCTGGAAATCTTTTTTCGTTTCACATCTTGGCCTTTTAAAGAGACTCGATCATAGTAAATGCCATTCCTTCGCCGCGTTTTGCTTGGGGGAACACACGATGTGCTGTCTCTGTGATAATTTTAATGTGACGCTCCGTTGCTTGTATATGACAGCTGGGTATTTGCAAATCTTTAATTGCATCATCTGCGAACATGTATCCTCGGATTTCATCGTCTGACATTGATCGCGAAAAAGCAGGCTCGATCAAATTTACGTTTTCCCTGTCGATTATATCTATACAGTCGTTGCAATCAAAGTTTATACGGTGACCGTACGGTGAAAACATAAATTTGACCGAACCTGCTTTTTCGCGATCAATGTCAGACGATGAAAATCGAGAATATATGTTTGCAGATGTTGCAATTAAAGATTTGGAAATACCCTGTCATATACAAGCAACGGAGCGTCACATTAAAATTGTCACCGAGACAGCACATCTTGTGTCCCCCCCAAGCAAAACGCGGCGAAGGAATGGCATTTACTATGATCGAATCTCGGCTTAAAAGGCCAAGAAGTGAAACAAAAAAAGATTTCCAGCAATAAATTATTTTTATGAAACAATTGTTATGTATACCATAATAAACCGATGATTAATTGAGATAAAATAAAAATGAAAAAATGTTTTTTTTTATTTTTTAGGAGGGGTAGATATTCATTAAGAAATTTTTGCTTGTAACCAAAATTCATCATTTTTTATGCCTTTTCCGAAAATACATGCACAACAGGAGTAAGAAATCGCTCCACTCTAATGTACATATTATAAATAATGGGGGACTAAAAGGCAAAGTCGGGTACCTGCAAAGAAAAAGATTATGCAATGATAAAAATCGTAACTTATGTTAAAATTGTCGCAAGTAAGCATAAAGTGCACCGAGATACGGTTATTCGAAGATGCACTTTGGCAAAAGAAGTATCGGCACGAGTGCTTTACATCAATGTCAGCGAGTAAGTGTCGCCACGAGGAGGACGGCACGTGGTCGGAAACGTCTCTCTTAAACTCGCGATGGACTCGGAGTGATCGATGAGTCGCCGTCTCTCCATGCTTTATCGAGGAAAGGAATTGCGGACGAAGGAAAGCGGGAAGAGGCGAGGCTAATAACACGCGACGCGCTCGTCGTGAAATCGTCTGTAGAAAATCGCGCGAGCCGATGGGTAATGAGCAGCCATAAGCTGCGAGATGACAAATGGTAGGTTCGTGCCGAAACGATAAAACGACGTTTCTTGTAGTTCTGGACGCGGCATAAGATAGATATTCTAGAGCACTTACGTTCTATTTCAAGTGCAGTTGTTCGTCTATTATCGAAAATGGAAAAAAAAACCCGAGTAACTAAATGAGATCAAAAGTACAAAGTGGAAAAGCGAATAAAGAGGGTAATTGTACTATTGCATGAACATTCGCTTTTAGATACGATTAGAATTTTTATTTGATTTGAATCTATCTATAGATGACCTAATTATCATCTGTTTAATTAATTTTATTCGTTTATTTTATTAGAATCGACGAAGTTATTTTAGTGACGAAAATAATGTTAAAATTGAAAATAAGCCGTCTTAAGTGAAATAGAACAGAGAAAACATGAAGAAAAGCGTTGAAAGGTAGAAAGTATAATTTTTTATTTGCTTAATTGATTTTATTCATTTATTTCGCCTAAAATGAATGCAATTATACTTCGAGTGGCGCGACAATGGCTTAACATCAGAATAAGAGGTTGCAACGACGCTTAAAGTGGAACAAAACACGAGCTGTAAAGAAAAACGTGAAAGTTAAAAATGAGCGTGATTTTTTGTCCCACTTGTTTTTTAAAGTCTAGCCTGCCTGACGAGTAATCCGTTATTGATGGCATTCGCGAAGAAAATCGATTGAGACGAACGATTGCGCCCGCAACAAGAGGAGATCTTTGGCGTTGGGAATTTGTCAACCGGGCGACAAATCAACGCGCGCCGACCATTACTCATCCCCGTGAATAACGGCGGTCACCAGCCTCGGCCTAAATAGGCAGCCATATTGCTGGCTAATTACTCTTTGTTTGTCAGTGAATATTCTGGTATACCGGTGTAACAATAACTGCGTTCAATAAGGCCGGGCGGAATTGTTGAGTGACAATAGCGTATGATTGGCGCATAAACTCCCTTCGATCCGTAGGAATCCTCCGATTCTCGAGGACGCGACTATCTTCTTGAGGTGTGTCGCCTTTGCAACCGCTATCCTGGATTTTTCTGAATTATTCTCAGTTTTTTATACTTGCGACTCGCGAGTAAGGATTCACAGCTGTGCGAAATTTTGCCGTTTACCATTTCGTTGCACGTATAAGAATTGAAACTTTGGAATTTCAGGAGTTTAACGAACCAGATTTGTTGTTCAAAAAACTGCACTGTAACTGTTCGTTTGTCGAACGTGAGCGATACCACGGCGGCGGTGTCACGCGGAAGAACGCGCCGCACGTCGATATGACGCGTGCTTTCAGCCGAAGCCGATCGAAACCGCGATCCGTCACGGAGCGAGATATTTTTTACGTCAAAGTGTAGGCGTACCACACGTCAGACGAGAGTTTGGGATTTTTCTGTACATGCCCACGCAATTTTTTTTGTGCGAAAGTTGCTTAATTAAATCGAGAGCCGGTCTATTTTCATCCCTGAAACGTAAAATGG